GCCCCCCCCCTCCTGCGCAACCGTCAGACAATTAATAACGAACTGGAGACCGACCTGTACTGACTGCTTCCATTTTTGTACAGTCGTTTTCTCTTCAGATGAGTAGTGTTTCATGTTTCTACTGTGCGCATTATTGTTTCCGCTGCACTTTGAACTACTGAGAGGCAGATACCTACAGTCCGCTGTAACACGAAATCAGTAATTCACCGCAGCTCAGACTCGAACCTGCCACAGAATATTTGGCTGAACGCAAAGCTGTCGGTTCAACATGCACATCATTACCTGATGTACGATACTGGGCTGATGCCTGTGTTTCGCTGACGGTACAGATGAACAGAATGCTTAAGATGAGGGACATCATACGGCGAGACAGGACGAGAGAATTTAGCCACACGGATCTGCCGATGTCGACGGAGTACTGTCGGGCGGGTGAGTAATATCTCGACCAGACACTGTTGCCATTTGTGCCAGAAAAGATTCTTGCCACTTTTCACGTTGGTGATGACGGCAAATTCTCGGAAATTAAAAAAAACGACCAATTACCTGTTCACACAGAACGACTAGAGATAATTACGCATTCCCGAACGTGCGTCGGGAAACCTTCACGGTACATCACTGAGCGAGGACGGTAAAAGCTCACCCGCCCGACAGGAAAAGTTGCATAACAAGTTCTATCGACGATCGCTCCATCGAAGCACGTGGGGCCTCGCTAATTTGCTGATTTTTCCAACTTTGTCATGCCTAATGTATTATTGCGACGGCAACCTGTTTTTTGTAGTTTTGTCATAGTCCTCTGAGGCTGGCAGTGCTTATGATAACCCAGATTCATTACGACTGACCTTCAGGAACTTCCGAAGGTCAGATTCCTTAGTCGCACAGTTTGAACTGTTCTACAGATGATTGAGTCGCTGACTGAGCAATCGGTGATACCCTTTGTTGCTCCTCAAAGCCACGAATCTCGTTCATGGCGTCGAGGACCGGCAATCGACGTAGGAGTGTGAACGGCATGTCAAAGTGACTTACGACGGAGTGCATTTTCCGTAGCCACGCAAATCTCTTATTCACTTGAAAATGATCAGTCGGTAAGGTTCCATTGAAGATATGTTACGACGAACAGACTGCAGAAGAGACGAACGCGTCACCACACGCGTTAATAAAAGGAATTTCAGCGAAAAAGCGCAATCCAAATTCCAATATCATACCGTCATTCCTCGAAACGAAGATTCAGCTGATCTTTTATTTCTTACGAATGTAATATCGAACGTATTTGTCTCCTGCCCATATCAAGTCCTTGAAGAGGACACGACCATAAGACTGACATAAAAAAAGACGCATGCCGA